TCTACATAGAGCTATGTGCTCTCCCTCAATGTACACCTCTAATACTTTATTTCAATATATTTAATAATAAACCTTGTTTTTTCACTAACTTTTAATTATATTTCAGTTAAATCCTGCATACTGCAGAGATCACTAGAGCTTGGTAACATTTATATTTATCTTATAGATATTTCATTATGTACCAACTAGAAACTTATATTTTATTTTCTTATTTTATTATAGGTATAATGAGATTTTTTTTGTCTTTTACACACATTTATACACAGTTATTACATACAGGATTTATAATATTCTCTTCGTATTTTCCACAGAGTATTTTAGCTTAATATGCACTTTTGGAGCTTTTCTTAGGAGGTTTTTAAAGTTAAGCATGTTTGCACTTATGTTTCTCCACCAAGAAACAGATTGTTACTTTTGTTTTTCCAAATTATGTTTTTTTTGCTTTGAGTTGACATACTCTTCTATATATAGGGGCTACTGCCTACACACTATGCTTAAAAGAAGTAAGGAATAAAAGCTCTCCCAATTCAACTTTACACTGTACTACTTTACATAAAATGTGTTCATGATATCCAGTTAGATATAACATAGATTATTTAAAGTATATATCCAATCATACCTCTTAAATAAGAATTGCAGATAGGGATGAGATATATGTGAGAATCAGAACATTTTCTAAATTCATGCTGTATTTAAATGGATAAAATATTGACAGGAGTTGGTATTAAAGAAGGAAGCTGAAGTTTTCTGTTCAGAGGTATGGATATCATAAAGAGAATTTAATAGATCAGTGCAAATGTTGAAGTTACCCAGTACCTGTATTGAAGTAAGCTGATTTCCAAAGTTAGAGACTAGAGTAGTAGTTCACTAGGTATATGTAAAATCAGCAAAGATTTATCCTCACACCTCAGACATCCTGTATATCTGATACACATGATGCTCAGAATACAAATTGCAAATCTGTATACAAGGTCGTTCTGATTTCATATTCTAACATGTATCACTTAGTGTTTCCCATCTAAACTTTCTCTTAACTCAAACTGCTTACTCTCTTACCCTCCTGCTAGAATCTAGTACACTCCTATTGCATAACTGCAACATCTAATGTACCATATTAGCATACTTACAATATCAAGATTTCTGCTACTACTTCTGTACAACTCCTAAAAAGTATTTTTTATTTTACTAGATATCTGATCCTAGCGCTGTTGATCTTAACATCAGATTAGCTCACTAGACATCTCTGCGTTCATGTTCTTTACACTTCCTACACTGTGAAGCTCTTCTTAATCATTTACTACAAGATATTTTTCCTCTTATAATTCTGGCATTCTATGTTTTATCTCTTTTTATAATACTTTTTAATCGTATCTAGATATTCTTGTTTCTCTCTATATATTGTTCATTAATAAAAATAACCAAGTATCCAAGGTGCACAGAAATCATTGTCTATTACCCCTCCTCCCCCCATTTTTAACCCTATCTAAAGAAATTACATCAACTTAACCAAAATCTCAATTAGATTATCTGATTCTTTTACTTTTAAATACTATGTCTCCTATTCTTCAGTCATTCAAAAAAAGCCTATTCCAACCTATCACCTCTTTGAGTTTACCAGGGGGATAATCCTTGGATTACCCAAGCCTCAGATAGGATATCAGCAGATTTCTGACTACCTCAACAGCCCCCTCACAACTGTCCAAAATATAATCTTAAAGAAAGACTTAGAGGACAAGGAGAGGAAGGGTATTGGAAGACATCCTAAGACTGCCAAGTTACAGGATGATGCTAAGGTGGAGGAAGCCCTTGAAAATCACAATACTACCTACTTTGAGATTGCCCAAAAGGTTGCTTCCAATATTTCTTCTAAGATAGTCAGGAGAAGACTTGCACAAAGGTATCTTGAAAAGTAGTTAGTACAAGAGACAGTTTACTTGGATGAGGATCCAGCTCGAAAGAGATTGGAATATATATTAGCTCATAGGCACTGGACAAGAGAGATGTAGGGGAGGAAGACAATGTGGGGAGATGAGGTTGCTGTCCAGAGGGGGGGAGGAAAGAGGAGAAAATGGGCATTTAGGTACGCAAAAGAGAAGTGGAATAAGGATTGTATAGAACCTACTGCTGGGACAGGTGAGAAAAAGATTAGCCAGATGAGGACTGGTTTTTTTTTTTTTATGGTCAAACTCATGGTCTCTTTTTACCTGTTTTTCCTAATACTTCTTCTGCTGAAGATAGTATAGCTGGAAAGTCATTTATCGAGGTTTATGATCAATATGACTTTGTAGGAATATGGGAGGATATTAAGGAGCATCTTGAGGGGGAAGAGGTTTTCTTTATCATTGACAATACTAAGACTCATTTACCTTTTAGGAGATGGCTCAGAGGGCAGGAAATTACTCTTATGAAAATTCCAGCCTATTCACCAGATCTCAATCCAATTGAACATGTTTGGGCTCTGGTGAAAGATAAGCTTCAGAAGCATTATCCTGACCTATATCTCATGAAGGGCTCTGACAATGAGGTCAAAAAAGGTATTGAGGAGGCTATTACTGCTTGTTGGGAACTTCTTAACCCAAATAGTTTTGATTCTCTAGCAGGTTCAATGGTGGATAGGATTGAAGCAATTATTAAGGCAGATGGTACACTAAATATTGATTTCTACTAGGTATTTACATTTTTTTAATTTTTTTTGTTATTGTGATGTTGAGGTTGGTGAGGGGGTGGTTGTTGTACGATCAAGTTATTTTTCTGTTCGTTGTAGTCGGTTATTTTTGTAAAAGAACAATAACCACTTCACAACGGGAGGAAGGGCCAGAATCGAGATTTTACCCCTGTGACCAGACCGGAACACCGGTCTTTGTTGTTGCTTCTATCCTGCGATCGCACAAGCGTTGGTCCCCCCAGCGGCAGCTATACCATTGGAAGTATTGCCCAATCAAGAATAGGGGGTTGTGCCACACCGTCTGGGGCACAGGTTTTTGTATTCCCAGGCTTTGGCACCTTGCTCGAACTCACTGTGCTATACAAGTAGTTCGCTGTACAGTACTCGAGTATGTGAACTTTTGTGGCCAAAAGGGGACCGCAGTTTAAAGATTTTAAAGAGTGACCACTTCAAAATTAGCCCCAGTGCATAAGGATTTCGTGGTCACCCTATGCGTTTGAGCAGTTACCCACCAGCTTATCAGACCAGTAGGTTGGATTTGTGAGTATCGGGAGCAATCAAATGGGAAAATTACGAAATCGAGTGACGAAATGTGAGGGAGCCCCTTGGTGTGGACAAGGAATACCGGATAAACAAGCGCGACACGCTGGTTAAGAGAAAAGGGGACTGGGGGCTATGCAAAGCGCGGAGGACATGAGAGAGCCAGGAAAAGAATCGAAGGAAGAGAACTGAAGCACCAACGCCCGTTTGCACTTCTCACCATTTTCTCTCGGCTGGGGTTTTTGGTGACTTTTATTTATTGTTATTGTATGATATTATGCAGTTTTGTCTCCGCTACAAGCTTGTTCTCCTGCTCGCTGCCTATTTCAATTCCTTCCTGTTGTAGTTTACTGTACCGGTTGTTCCTCACTCGGGTGCAAGCAACTGAGTGTGCTATTGTGTCCCCAATCAGCTTTGAGACGACAACCACGAACGACCTCCATCGTCCATTCCTCTCGTGTACCTGTATCCCATCCGTTCCTTGACCATCGCGCAATCCTCAGCTCTGCATTACACCGCTTTACTCGCTCTCACCCAATACCTTCTTTTCAACTATCGATACACATTCTCTTGCCGAAAGTCTTTCTTGTCTCTTTTGCTTTGACTCTTGTTCCACATTTCCGCCTCCCCCCCGCTCGTCGTGTCGGAGCGAACTATTCCCTGGTCCATCCGAGAGACTTGTTCTCTCCTTGGTCCTTCTCCCTGTCACTAGTGGCCTACGATGGAGAACCGATTACCCCTCCGTGATACCCGCCGACTGCCCTCATTTGCCCCTAGCGATACTGACTACGACGAAGAATATCGATATTCACGGTCGGAAGACTCGGTGAGGTTCGCTGCTGACAATATCCAGCCGGTACAGGAAAATGTCTTTGCAACTCCACCTGACTCTCCAAGACCTTCAAATGTGTTTGCTACCCCTGTGCATTCGCGTAGCCCTTCTCCTACAAATCTTGACCGAGGAGATTCGAGAGAATCTACTTTAGCTCCTTCAGTATACTCGCTGGGACGTGATTCCTCTCTCTCTTCACGGCGCTCCTCGTCTCCTATTCGCGTGGCGAACGGCGGTTACTTTCCTCAACATAGGGTTTCCTCATCATTAGCGCCTTCTATAATATCCAATTCTTCTGGTCATCCGACCGGATCTGGATTGCATAGGTCTAACACTGTTGCAACCAACACAACCAATTCTACCAATTCATCAACTCTTTATTCGATACCATCGCAACTTTCACAATTCTCTTCACCTCCTTCCCCACTTCCATCGATAGCCCCAGTGAGACCTCGATTCGATTACGGTGGCCACCAGCAATCAATATATCCTTTGTCGGCACATAGCAATTCTGATATCGGCGAGCATGATCCTTTTGGGGATGGATTTGAGATTCCTGTGGGAGATGGGTTTGCCCCCCGTCATCAGAGGCAGCCGCCCTCAATCGCTTCGAAAGAACCACCGCCATATAGCATGTATCCGGACCAACCGCCACCAAAACCTGAAGAAAGAGGCATTGCTGCAGATGTTCAATCGAATCCGGATTCTGGGTTTTCGCTAGGAGAGGACGCAGATGATCGTAGTGAGAGTAGAATGGTGGTATTAGCGCCTGTTGGGGGAACCATTGCAGGACAAATAACGGGGGTGAATGGTGGAGGACCCGATAACCTGGATGATGGAAGCGGGGCTACAAAGGAATGGAAAGAGAAGCGGTGGTTAGGAATAAAGGCTAGGGTCATCATTTTAGGGCTTGGAATAGGGTTGATGGTGCTGTTAGCTGTTGGGTTGGGAGTTGGCCTCGGCGTGGGATTGAGGAAGTCATCATCCACAAGCGTGTAAGCCCCCCCCCTCTGATGTCCCTATCTACTCCATGAAGAGAAGGGATCCTGCAGGGTTAACTAGGTATTGGCATTGACGTCAATTATAGCCCAGTGACATCAATATCGTCATTTCCTACCACAGCTGCCGAGATGCCACCTTCCTCTGAGGAGACTGGTCCACCTATTTCCGACCCCGATAACACGTTCCCTGATATCGAAACCGGTATGGCAGTGCTGACACCATTGGTGCTTTCGGAAATATCATCCGATTGCGCCCTTGAACTGCAAGACCGATCTTCACCAGGGTTTTTTGACATGGGCTCTGGTTTGCTCTGGTCGTGCCAGAACTCTCCAGACAAGCCACTTGTATGGAGGTTTGACCATTTCCCGCCAAAGCCATCTGGGATTAATATGGATACTTTTCCTAGCCACCCCCAGTTCCTGATGGGCGCAGAATATGGCGAGGGTTCTTGGGGGGGATATATGCTCTCAAGTTTGGAAGGCATGATAAAGTTTGATGATGATTGGGATATGGTAGTAAAGGATGATAACGGCCAGGAAGAGTATTCTTCTGAGCCTGGTTGGAGGGATGGTGCTCAGAATCCCCTTTTCTGGCACGTCCCCTTGGCATACTATAATACCTCGACCCCCATCAATAACCGACTGAAGCTGCGCTCGAACAACAGCACACCAGTGGGGAAGTTTGCGAACTATAAGTTCGGGATTCTTTACAACAAAACTGTTGTCTTGAAACAGAATGCTATCGATCAAACGCTGGCAGTGCTTAAGAGCACCGGGGGGGCTCCGAAATTTGCCAATGGGACAGCATTAGGGGAAGGCGAGATTGTCTGGAAATGTGTATGGGAAAAGACGCTGCTAGATGTGGAGATCAGCATCAATCAGCCTAGTTTGGCCCGCCATCCAACAGGATTTGGTGGGGACCGTGGGCCTCCTAATAATAGGGGTGGAGATGGTGGCTTGGGGTATGGGCGGGGGGGTGGACGAGGGAGTGGTGGCGGGCCTTCCAACGATCGTGGTGGGGCCCTTTCTAGATCACCATCTAGAGACTCACCGGGGCCGCCTGGTGGGCCTTCACCTCAAAACTCCTTCAATGTGGGCAGCAGTGCTCAATTTGAGCCGCCGGTCACTGCTCTCGCCATTCCGACACCAACGGGGCTGAACGACTCCGTTGATAATACGGATGGTGCTTACAAGTTTTCTGACATTCCTATAGCCGGAAATATTAAACGCGGAGAATCAACACCACCCTATCCCCTCAAGATAACCATCCAAGAAACCAGGTTGACACCCAAGCGGTTACGCCGGGTAATGGGAATGGATCTTACTGATGCGGACCCGCGCGGCTATGGTAAACCTGGCGATGTGAAGTGTACTCAGATGGTTGTCACTCGTCTTGGCGGGTTGAGAGAGTTTATGGATGCGAATGGCGAAGGGTTAGTCATTCTTAAAGAGCGGGGCCCGCCACGACGGAAGCGGGATCCCGTGCCTGGAAAGTGTTCTTGTCGGTGGACATCATGATCCTTTGAGAAGGCATATCGGAGCACCATTGTAATGATTCCGAAGGAGGGGGGATTCATGGCGTTAACAAATGTAATTTTTTACTCGTAACACCACGGGGCTTGGGATTCATTATCTCATCGGAGATACGGGCCTGCTTGTGGAGATTTCATGGATTACGATTACAACATTCGGGGGGAGGGGGTATCAACGGGAATGTCATCAGCTATTGGGATAGGCTGTTTCGACATTCGGATAGTTATCTAATGAAAAGGTAAACGTTATATTTCGTGACACATTCCCTCTGGTCTTGCAGTAGAAAAGGAGCAGAATTGGCAATAGAGGCTTGCAGGCCTGGCTGGGACTGGCCTTGGAAGAGGTTCTTCCGTTCTTCCTGATCCTTCTTCTCTGTAACCTTGTACTTTTTAGCCGGATCACATTTGTGTTTTATATTGTTCATACCATAGGGTTGGGTTTCTTTGTGATTTTTCGTTAATCTTTTTCATTACTAGCTTGTTTCTCGTTATGATTCCATTTTTCTTAAGTTTGGTGTTGAATGGTTTTTTCTGTTCTGTTCTTTTCTGTCTTCCCTTCCCATTTATTATTTTCCTGCTCGAGCACAATGGTCAGATATCTCCTTCTAATTTCTCCTTCCTTTCATAGTTGGAGGAAATCACGCTGAGTATAAACAGCACTGGCTCGGCGATTTAGGTGGTTGGTTGGTTTGGAACGAAGGATGTGGCCAGGAGAAGGTTGATTGATGTAGTATAGATGTAGACCCTCTGAGGTTATGCCGGGTAGTGACTACAGAGCAATTGAAAAAATGATCTTTTAAAACGCCATTGTTTACTCCACAATCGAGCTGTAGGGTGGGATAGCGCGTCCGTATCGTGGTAGTCGGTTCTAGACGGCATCGGATAAGCCGAGTGGTGTGAGTGTGGCGGGAGTTGATGCCGGCACCGGTATTAGTGACAAAAATGAACTCTCCTCTCGGGAGAATTGGAGTTCGGACGGATAGTGATTCTGGATGTCTCTGGGAATCTGGTTTTTCCTTTCCTCTCAGAATCGTGTGGAGATTTGTGCCTGTATTACTGTATATTTGTGATTCGAATCGAGGGGAATGAGCGGAATCTGGAGACCTCTGTGGAGTGGGGAACAGACAGGATTAGTTTGATGAGGGTGTTTGAAATGTATCCCGATATCATGCATCAGCCAACCTATCCCCGCCACTGTACGAGGGGGGGAAGAAAGTAATGCGACACCTGTGCAACACAAATTCCCGTGCAGAAACAATATCAACAACACATAGTACTACCATTTTCCACAACCACATTCAATAAATAAAATAAGTAAAGGAGATAAAATTAAAAAATGCTTAGTATTTCCTTAAAGTAAAATAAAAAGAAAATCATAAATCAATAATGAGTTTGGTGCTCTTTTCTTCTAATAACCTCTCTGACCCGCTTTAGCATACTTCTGCAAAGATCCATAAACCTTCCATCAGGAATAGCTTTCCATGCTTCCTCCACAGCTCTGATTAGCTCTTCCTTGCTTGCAACTCTTCCATACCTTTTCCCCAAGTAAGTTTCCATATCTCCCCAAATATATTCAATTAAGTTCAGGTCTGGTGACTGTGGTGGCCAGGGCAATATATCCATCCCATTCCTTTTTCTACACTTTGTAGAATATCTGTGATTAAACCAGTAGTTAGATTATATTCTTAAGTATTTCTATATCAAAAAACGGAAAATACAATAATTATAAGGAGGTAGAACCTACCCTTTATGCCCTGGTGCACCATCTTCAACAATCATAGTCCAACCAAATCTCTCACAACACTTATGCCAGAAAGGAATTAAAACTGGATCCAGAATATACTTAGTATACTCATAAGAATCCACTTTAACCTTTCCTGGTACTACCACTAGCTTTGACCTCAAATCCCTACAAAAGGCTTCCCATACCATAACTGTCTTCCTTCCTGACTCCCAGACCTCATCAATACAATCCTGATCATATTCCTCAAAAGGTTCTCTTATCACCCATCCTCTCTGCCCAAATCCAGCTGTAGAGAATGAGGTTTCATCAGTCCATATGATTCTGGACCAGTCTCTTAGTTTCCAAGCTCTTTTTCTCATACACCAACCAAATCTAATTGGTATATTTTTAGGGAGCAATCCCCATCTAAAATATCTTTTAGTTATGTAAACACTTGAATCTTTATTAAATTACTTACTTCTTGCGTGGTTTTCTTTTATTTAAATTAAGACTCTTAGCTGCCTTCCTAATTGTCCTGAATGATGCCTTTAATCCCTTCTCTTCTTTAATATCCTCCCAAGAGAGTCTTCTATTTCTTTTATTTTCTTTAATAAAAGACTTTAGATCAAGTAGATCAGACTCCTGGAAGATTGGAGGTCTTCCTGTTTGCTGGTAGTTGGAAGGACTACCTGTTTCCCGATACCGTTGATAGATGCGAGCACAGGTACTATGGTGAACTTTATGGCCTATTTTTTCCTCCAATTCAGCAGCTATCTTTCTGAAAGACCACTCCACTATTTCTCGGAGAGCTATAATACGGATCCGGTTATCACGTGTGGTTTCCTGCTCGAAGCGCTGTGGCTTCTTTGTCGAAGATTGCCGCCGCTCAAGATTTCGTGGACTAATCTCTAAATCATTTAATTTTATTATTATTTCATCTTTATGTATATATTCATTTAATTAAACTACTTATGCTCACTTCTGCAGGTTCCCTTTACCCTCATAGTGCTTTTCTGAAATGGTTTGGCAGGTGGTGAGGGATATAGTGAGTATTGTAGTGATGGGGGTTGGGAGTAGAGTTGCGATCTTGTGGGAAGCGGTTGCTACTTTGTCGCACTACTTCTTTCTCCCCCCCTCGTACAGTACTCGGTACACTACTCGTACATTCCTGTACTCGATACAGAATACGGTACTTGGTGTAAGCAGCTCGCGTCTTATTCACTCAAGTACCGGTATTTCCCCTCCAGCGCCACCATATCCCTCTCGACATGCCCATGAGCAGTACTCGTACCTTCATCCCGAACCACCATGCCTATAACACATACCCTACGTCACATTCCCTCCTCACCCGCCACAAGAGATATTAGAATGTATGATAACCTATCGTATCTGGTGAAGGATAGGTGATACCGATAGTATAATAGCGAAAGTTTAAATACCCCATCAGCGGTAAGACCAAAATGGGCAAAAAATCTTAGACGACTTTTGATCATAACACAGCAAAAAAGTCACTCCGTTCTCGTAATCCTTGGGAACATGGGTTGGGTACAGTACTAGTACATGTGGTTCGGGGGGGGGGGGGTCATTTTCCTTTCCCCCTTCCCATCGAAAGGCTAGCCAATGAGATGCCCACATGTGTGGACGACTGCCGACCAAATGGTGCCGCGGTGGGGAGCCGGCGTTCGAAAGGAAGAAAAAAAGAGTAAGAATGAAGCAGGTACAGCCCCGGTTGGGAGTGAGTGAATCTTCTTGTTCTGTCAACTTCGGGGGGGGGGGGGGTGGAAAAAGGATGGCATTGCATATTAAGGGCTCGGGATGATTTACAGAAGATCTGGAGATGGGAAAGATGGAGGGGTTCAAACCGGTATGGTAGTTCCTTTCTTGGGAGCAGGGGGGAAGAATGAGAGGCGGGTGGGTAATTTATGATGTTATGTGTTATTTTTCCACTCTTCTCTATCTCGCCTTCGCTCCTTCTCCCGCCTTCTTTCTTTCTCTTTCTTTTTATAAGAAGGATCTTGCGGAGAGTGAACCTTTCCCTTTTCGCTGAATTGAGGCAGAAAGAAAGACGAAACGCTGCTCGATTTCGTGCGCTGAGTTGAAGCTTGGGGTGAGGATGTCGGGGGCACTCTCCAAGGGTTAGGGTATTAGAAACCTTCCATTTTCTGGCACTCTTGTCAGAGCCTAATCTAGCTACTTTTGGAAGTCATGAAGCGTTGGCGGAGATGCACGGCCAAAGCATGCTCATGGATTTTGGGTTATGTTTCTTGACTAACTTAACAGAACAGGACAACGAGACAATATGTTAATGCTAGGATAGGGATAGAATGGGGGGGGATTGAGGTACTTTAGGTGTTGACTTTCTGTGAGAATTGAAGGAGGGAGGATGGAGAGAGACGGGATAAAGATATTGTAAGTCTGTTGCCATAGCACATAAATTTAATAAAGTAGAAGTGAACCTGAACATTTCTTCACGAGACACAAGACCGGGGACACCTACTACTACTACCTACTCGTAGTTTACCACCCCCCCCTTCTCTGCTCTTTGCCCACAGTGTCACAACTCAACCATAGCTTCCCATTCACCCTAGACAATAATTGCAGAATTGACTGTGGGGGTTTACTTCTCTGCTCTGCTTCTCTCTCCACTTTCTTCTATTCCTCTTGCCCGCTCTATTTTTCGGTTCGATCTGTCATAATACCGTGGTCCGGAATACGTCTCCTTGTCACGACCCCGTGACACAGCTTCTCTCGGTTATTGTTTCTCTTTCGCCCGCCCCACACCCTGCCATCACCGCCTGTCTCCCTTTCTGCTATCAACGCTTCTCCGAAGAAACACTTCTGCAACTACAGTGCTACCCTCCTATCCGTCTCCACGTCTGCCGGGGGTTCTAGAATTAGCAGCAGCAGAGCTGACACCGGAAGGGAAAACAAGCTCGTCTACCTGTCATCCGTGGGATTCGACAACCTGCGAAGTAACGAGTCCAAGGTCCAACCGAGAGCGGCAGAAGAGGTGGTGACTTGGTTTGCCTGGCCATTCGACAAAAGAAGATCAGAGGACTGCCTGGGCAGAGGTGCGAACTACTCTTGAGCTCTTGTTAATCTCGTAAGGCTGAGAGATATCACTAAGGACTCCAATTTTTCTACGGTAGGACTCTTGTACCGGTATCCCCGACACGCAGTCCCCGTGCGCCCTCCCACGATCGTGGTGTCACCCTTTTACTTTACTTTTTCCCTCTCCCTTCAAGGGTTTTTTTTCTTTTCGTTTTAGTTCATCGTCAATTCTATTCCTCTCATTCTGTATTTCTCCTCCTTTCCAGCCCCAACTGTCCTCCCCTCCCTTCACACCTGGGCCCACACGCCCGTTGCTCAGGTTGGCCCCAACCGCCCCTTTTTACCTATAATTCCTTCAATTCCATTGCGTGGCTCGATATACGGACTCGCTCTTCATTATACCCTTCACCCGGTAGAGCTTTGGGAACGTTCGTGGTCGCCGGTGTTGGCTTTTCCTGTCCTGCATCTTGTGCCTCGCGGTAGGTGTCTTCGCTGATCACTGGGTCCCGCGGCAGTTAGGTAACAACATTCCTCCGCCACCCGCGCCACCTTCAGAATGCCTACCTTCAAGCATGTCACCTTGAACATACATACACCTCAGGAGCCCCCTGTTTCAACAGAAAGCTTCTCGTGGGCTAATACCGCTCACTCGCCGTTGCCGGAATATGGGAATCACCGCCTGCGTAACACAGACAAAATCACGAGCTACATTCCATCTACAACCAACTCACCTTTTGCTATCTCTATTACTATTTTAGATTCATATCAGCCGAAGAACCAAGGTGATGAGCGGGAGAGTCTTGCTGCCTATGTTTACTTTGATGGTCGCCAAAAGGAGGAGACCGCTACACTTCTTCGCCGTGGTGTTGAAACTTGGATTAGTAGCAGATGGGTTGAGGTGAAAGAAGGGGAACTTGCAGAAAGGGAGTTCGTTTTCAAGGAAGTCGGCCTCGAGAGCTTTCTGAGCGGCCTAGACCTCTCCAAGTCCGAGAGGGAGAGCAATGCAAAGAACGGAACTCGCAAGGGAGTGAATAGGCGTCACAGCATGCCGGCCAAAATGAAGGCCAAGACTGATGATGATGATGAGGAAGATGCTGATGTTGGGAAGAAGGAATCCGTTGGTCAAATTCGGGTAGACTTGTTCAGGGTTCGCTGTGAGGGTCCGGTTCGCAGGGGTGTTTGGGGTGGTATGTTTAAGGATTCTCGTGGCGATGAAGATGACGAATTTGGGGGCGGGGTGGATGTGAGCCACACTGCTGGGTACGTTTTATGAATCTCACTTACTTTAGTAGCGGGAATAAGTAATCGGGTCGGCGGGAGGATTATGGCGTCTCTTGAACCATTGAATTAATTACATGGAGAGCTTATGCGCAAACTTTATGGTCATAGGTTGTCGGATCCGAAGCCCCTCGATAGGGAGACGGTCTCGACCCAGAGTGTTAGCCACCTTGATCCCGAGGGTGTGGTTTATGCTAGTTTCGTTTTCTTCTATCGCGGAGAGCGTAATGTCCCATTTCCACTTTTGTTTGGACAGGTCACTAATCCAACCTTTGTATATCGCAGGCCAGTTGAAGAAGATGGGACTGATCAAACCACCCGCACCTACCCGTGCTGATTCTCTCTCGGCAGCTCCCACTAGCAAATTCAAGAAGCAGGATTTCGCAGCAATGGCTTCTGCTCTTGAGTCTCTTATCGCCAAGGGTTCTGAGAAGAATGGAGCTTCCAAGCGCTTTAACGACTTCCGCGACGGCAACCATGGGGTCACTAATGGAGATGACCTGAAACGCAAGAATGGCAAAAAGATTCCTGGCTTGGACGGAAGGGATGACGATGTTGAGAGCCTCGTGGGAGATGAGTTGGCTAGAGATGAGAGAGACAGCCTGCGTGAGATGATGAGAAGTGAGGAGGACGTGCGCCTTGAGGAAGAGCTCATAGGTGGGGTGGATAGGATTAAGGTATGCTTTTGTTTTTTAAGTTCGAAATCTCCGGATATGTTCTTATGGGCATAGTTGAAACGTTCGCATTCCACCTCCTCGCTTCGGGATTCCGGGTCTAAGGATAAGGCGACAACTTTTCCCCCAGATTTTTCGGTAAATAACAAAGCTAAAACCTTTGCGACCCCCGGTAAGGATGCAATCAAGAAGTCTGAGTCTGCCCATGCCAACGGCCATGAGCCTGAAACTCCGTTGAAGAAGAGGCGTGGAAGCGGAGATGTCGATGTTAAGAGCCCTGCTAGAGGGCTCGGATTTGGCATGCAGACTGCTCCGATGACAGGATTCGGGGACAAAGTCGAATTCGGAGGAGTATTGGCGGGGGGGATGGAGATGGAAGAGGAAATCCTGTGAGGTCCGATGATTGGATGGCAGCGCTGGTAGAACAGTGGTGGCGAGTCTAATCGATACCGACAACTAAACGATTTCTCTTTCTGTTTCTTCCCAAATACAAATGGATGGGCATTTGTTATGTTTACCCGTCTCTTTTTTGTTTTTTAGCAAGGGTAGTATTGGGAGGGTATCCTGTGTCGAGCCTGCTCATTTGTTACCTAGGGAAAGGACTTGACAATCACTGCAAGTTTTCTCGAGATGGAACCAAAGCTCGGATCACACAGTTGCGCTGTTGGAATGCACTTTCGTGTTTTATGTCCGTTTTTCTTTCTTTCTGACTACCCTTCCTTTTGTCTTTATCAAACTGGGTCGGGGACATGGCAGGAGGGATTTATAGACTTTTTCTGGCCTTTATAGCCCCTCAACGCCTTTTCTTTTGTCTTGACTGCACTTTACTTCGCTTCACGTCTTTCCTTTTTGCACGCTTACCCATTTTTGCCTTTGTTTTCAATGTACTTTGGATATGCTCTGTTGGGTGTAACTTTTGTTCAATAACTTTTTTTCTCTTCTCTTCACTCCTCCTCGCCTCGCCGGGTCTGCCGTGTGAGGAAGAAGAGGGGGACACAATAATTATTGCAGCATTTTTTCATACCAATCTTTTGTTCTACACCTTCCTTTCAATATTTACCTTACCACTGGCAGTATAAGTAAGTATATTACGCATCAGAGTCCTGGAAACTACAAAGTTTCATCGGTTATACTTTTATTTTTATTTTGTTTTTTTCATTTATCTTCCCTTCACTCGCCTTCATTACTCTGGGGGTTGTTGTGACTCCACCTTTTGCGAGTACGAGTAAATATACCGTGTGCGTGCACAGGGACTAGGGGCGGTAGCGGCCGTTATTGCGGAGCATGGATGTGCATTTCATTAATCATAGTCAGTCACTTGGCCTGTTTATTACGCATGGTTGAGTATGTGTAGTGTGATATGCACTGACGCTCCTTCATTTCGGGCTCAAAGTCTGGTAATTATTTTGATTTCTCTGCTGTGGAGTACAGTCATGTCCGTTTAATAATTATACCCCTGCCCGGCAACCACGCAACACCATCACCCCCTCATCCCACCAGCAACTATGGCTCCCCCTTACTCTGCCCGAGCAAAAGAAGATTGGAATAAGGAAATTTATGCCCTGTATAAGTATACAGATATGGGGTATAATAAAACAGCAAAGACTATTGGGGTCTGCAAGGCTACAGTTCAAAAGTAGTCACTAGAGCCAAGACAAGAGGTGGAGATACCCATTATGCATCCGAGCAAGGCCAACCCACTAAGATTACCGATGCCAAATGAAGAGCAGTAGAGGCTATTATCGATGCTGAGCCGCATTTAGCACTATGCAAAGTTACCCAGAAGGCAAATATTGGCCTTGACAAGACCACTATTGACAAGATCATATCAGAAGCTGGTTTTAAGCTTCTGATACCAAGGAAAAAGCCTTTTTGGAGGAAAGAACAGAAGGAAAAGAAAAAGAAGTTTGCTAGGTGAAGGAGGAACTGGAGAGAGGCATGGAATTGGATGGTTTTTGTTAATAAAGCAACTATCATCTATGATCCAAATCCTCATGGGAGAAAGGTCAGGATAAGAGCTGGAGAAAAGCTGGAAGAAAAAAACTTGAAGCCTAGCTTTAAGTCAGGAAGGACAAGCATTAATGTCTATGCTGTAATAATGAAGGGTGGGAGGACTGGGTTAATTCTTGTGAGGAAGAGGAGGGAGGAGGAAAGGACTAGTAAAAGAGACAGACTTAGCCTTAATTCCTACCATTATGAAACTGAGATCCACCAGTCATTCCTTATCCCTGTTATAAAAGCTCTGGATAGACCTTCTAATTACATCTACCTAGCTGCAGACAATACTTCCTGGCATAGTGGTGAGGAAAATCGAAAATTGCAGGCAGACTGTGGTTACAAAAAGCTCTATTGGCTCCCCAACTCTCCAGATCTCAATCCTATTGAGAACACCTGGGCACTACTCAAAAGAGCCCTCAGAAATCGATTCTTCAGATTGGAAAGAAGGTTCTATAGTGCTGCTAAATGATTTCAGGCAGCAAAGGCGGAGTGGGATTTGATTCTTCAACAGATATTGGATGCATGGATAGAAAGAATGCCCGAGAGAATTCAGGCTGTTTTGGATACAGATAGAGGTCATACAAAATAGCAATTAGATTTCTTTAAAGCTTAGGTCATGTACTTTCATTTATTCGTGAATTGGCTTTGAATCTTGATTTTTTGTATAGTTGAATTGGTTAAGTGTTGTAGTTGTAGTAGCCAGGCAGAGGTATAATTATTAAACGGACATGATTGTACATTGGTAGAAGCAAGCTGTAGCTTAACTTATGACAGAAAAAGTAGTGAAGTGGGAGTATTGGATTGCATATATGACATTATAATTGATACAAGGCTTGCTCTTCAATTATTTTGGTTAGTTAATGTTTTGAAAAGGATGTCAAACATGTTGTAATATGACTTCCAAATATGCATTGGTTTAGTCATGGTCTACAACCAAATATTTTAATATGAGTTTATTATGCAATTAAGCACATTACATAGTTGACTGCTATGGAGTTTCCCTGAAAACTCTATCATGGTACTAGTTTGGTTATCTCACTCACATTTCCTTTTACTTTACCAATTGGCAATATTGTATTGTTGTTCTTGTTTTTCTTTTTTCTCATATACTAGGTATATACTATGGGTGGTTGTAGTATGCTTTCTAGTAATATAGGTAGGGCCTGATAGCCCTCCAAAAAAGCATCAATCAAGTAAGAAGTACAACTGCAATCAAGAATTACAACAAAACATACTCGCTCTATTTTTCCAATAGAGTGTATTCTTGAAAAGTCATGTTAGAAGGTGTGGGACTAGGAAGCGGATCAGGTGGGGAGGTGAATCAGTTAAAATGCACCAAAGAAAGTAAATATGTAGCAATCTCAATTAGTACCCAAACACTCTGAAGATGAAATATGATAGTAGAGGAAGTATTCCTGATAGCGCATTGTGTTATTTTTGCCCTAATTTTGAGCTGATTTTGGAGGTTTTGTTTCACCAAAATTTCAGCAGCAAGGAGCAAGATTTACAAAGTAGTTCATGTTAATGAGATTTTGACATGATGGTACCTTTCTTGTTGGGGCTAAATTGTTTGGGCCGAGATAAACAACATAAGATTAATGGTATCTAACCTACTCTCCAGTCCAATATGGTACAGTCATGTCTGAAAAGTCTCTGGACTCCTGCTTGGCAACGCTGCAACCAACTATTACCTCAACATCACCTCCTACCATGGCACCACCACACTCCTAACCCCTTAGAGTAGACCAGAAAATTGAAATCTATACTCTCTATGAAGATACTGATATGGGGTATGGTAAAATTTCAAAGCTTATGAACCACTCCAAGTCAACAGTTTCAACAGTAGTTAAAAATGCAAAAGTTAGAGATAGAAACACCCATGATGCCCCCAGATCTGGAAGACCAACCAAGATTACTGATGTCAACAGGCAAGTAATTCTTGATATTATTGATGTTGAGCCTTATTTAGCCCTATGAGATATTACTCAAAAAGCCAATATTGGACTTGGCAAAGATACTGTTAGCAAGATATTCAAAGAAGCTGGATTTATGCTTAGGATACCTAGGAAAAAGCCTTTTTAGAGAAAAGGACAGAAGGAGAAGAGAAAAGAGTTTGCTAGAGTGAGGAGGAACTGGATAAGAACTTGGAAATGGTTGGTTTTTGTAGATAAAGTCACAATGAATATAATACAAATCTAGTAAGAAGAAAGATCAGACTAAGACCAGGTAAAGAGTTGGAAGAAAACAACTTAAAGCCTAGCTTTAAGTCAAGGCATACCAACATAGGTGCATATGATATAATGATACATGGAGGGAGGCCTGAGCTTATTCTTGTAAGGAAGAGAACTGAGGAGGAAAGGACCAGCAAAAGAGACAGACTTGGTCTCAATTCCCACCAATATACAACTGAGATTCACTAACTCTATCTCATTCCCTTCATAGAAGCCATAGAGAGAGTTCCTCATACCATCTATATAGTTGTTGATAATGAATTATGGTGTAATGGAGGAGAAAACAAAATTAGAAGAGAATTGTAGATATCAAAGAGTGGCTTAGTCTTCTAACTTATCAGATCCTAATCCTATTGAGAATGCCTGAGCAATTCTCAAAAGAGCACTTAGAAAGCAATTCTCTAAGATTGAGAAAAGGCCCTATAGTACTGCTGAATTATTTCAGACAGCAAAGTAACAGTGAAACCTCATTCCCCAGGGGACATTTGATAGATGGATTCAGATAATGTCAAAGAGACTTTAGGCTATATTAGATGCAGATAGAAGCTATACAAAATGGTAGCATTGGGAAACTGCTTTTTTTCTATTTCTACTATTATCTATTTTAAAATTGTACTGATATCTTTTTCTTATTGTAATCAATATCATTATTTGTAGTAGCAGTACCCTTTCCATGAGTGATATGTGGACTTTTCAGACATGACTGTAAGTGGCTAAAATTAACAGTGCACTTATGAACATGAAAATCTTTCATCTTGACAACCATGCTCCCTTGCTAAACCCATCAGTATAATAACAAAAATACTTAAAAAAGAAATGTAAATATATTATAGAAATTAATATTTGGTTTACCATCAATCAGCTTTGATAATTGCTGCTAGTCTATCCATGGTTGACCCTGTAAGGAGATTGAGTATATTTAGATTAAGAAGTTTCTAGTCATAATTGATAGCCTTCATAATTGCCATATTGTCCTCATTGTTAAAACCCTTCATTAGATATAGCTCAGGATGATACCTATGAAGCTTATTATTCCCCTGAGACTAAAAATATATTCTATTGAATTAAGATCTGGTGAAGAGGTAACTTAGGAATTTCCATAAAAGTAATTCATTACCTTATTAGCAATCTCCTAAAGGGCAAGTGAGTCTTAATATTATCAATAATAAAAAACATTTTTTTTTCACAACTCTTTCTCTGATATCCTCTGATATTGCTTGAAAGTCATGTTGATCATAAATATCAATAATTGACTTTCCAGTAACTCTACTATGATACTCACGGAAGTAGGATTAGGAAAAGTTGACAAAAAAGAGAATAAGCTTGACTATCAAAACAGCCAGTCATTATCTAGCTAATATTCCTGTCTTCCATCCTTGTATCAGGTTCAGCACAACTCTTATTAAATTTCTTCTTTAAGTATTATATCTAGTTGCCTATTTTTTCCTCTTGCCTTCTCCTCTCTGTATAGCTATTTCATCTTGCTACATTGTCCTTCTCTTTAGCATCTCTCTTATTAAAGGCCTATAATTAATGCTCATTCCAGTTTCTTCTAAGCTGAATCATGATTCAAATAAATTCTTTCTTATGCTAACTACTTCTTAAGATACTTTTGTACAAGTATTCTCCTTACTGTTCTGCTGTAATAGTACTCTAAGAAGTACTGTTACAAAAGAGTCAACTCAATTCCTGAACAGGTATTAAGAGACTACTATAATAGAAATTGTAATAAATAAAAGTACACGGAAGAGAGGTACAGTTGGTCAAGTATCTTAATCAGACATGTTACATCCTACTA